AAATTCCTCAATTGTAAGTGAGGAACTGTGCCCTTAAACAGCTATTATGGAGAGTTTTGGACTGAATGTTGTGTCCCCCCAGATTTCTAAGTTAAAGGTCTACCCCCAATGTGAGGTGGAGCCTTTCAGGGGTGATTAGGATTTGATGAAGTCATGAGGGTAGGGCCTCCTGATGGGATCAGTGACCTCTAAGAAGAGGAGGAGAGATTTCTGTTTTTCCACACATGCAATGGGGAAAGGCCACATGAGGCCACATGAGGACACAGTGAGAAGGTGGCCATCTGCAGCAGAAGAGCCCTTACCCCTTTCGAGGAACCTCACTGTGCTTGCAATTTGATCTCAGACTTCCAGCATTCAGATGGTGAGAAAATCAGTTTCTGGTGCCTAAGCTTCCCCGTCTGCGGTACTTTGTTGTGGCAGCCCTAGCCAAGGACAAGTACATTGAAATAGAAGTGCATACAAACCAGCGGGCATATGGTTGATGTTCTCCATGTTTATGTGCTTGGCTTTGTTTCCTCATTTGTAAAAGAAGGTGTGGGTGTTACTTCCTACCTGCCTGAGAAGGACACGAGAGAGTAAAGCCTTTGGAAAAGGACAAGACCTGCAAATGAAAGTGGATAGATAAAGATGTTAGGGAGAGGCTGGGCATGGGCTGCCATCATTGGCAAGCTTGGGAAAACTGAGCCCCCACCAAGGCTGTGGACTGCACTGCCCTGTGGTGGGGATCAGGATAGTGTCAGGGTGATGGCCCGCAGGTCATGCTTAGAACTCCAGCTCCCAGCTCCTGCCTGGACATCACTTTCCTCCTCTGCCCCTTGGGCCCCTGGACTCACCTGGCCCCTCACCTGGACACAGGACCGGGGACATGATCAGCTCTGGCTCACCCCAACTGGGTCTGGGCAGAGGGGGCTCCCCAGTCCTCCATATCAGAGCTTCTGATGTCTTTTGAAGTCGCAGATTAAAGCCCTAGAGCTCACTGGAGATGTTGGGGCTAAAGATGCTTCTACACAGGAGGGAGAGCTGGAGAGCTGAGCCTGAGAATAACTGGGGAAAGGGGAACCCAGGCACGTTTGCAGCAGGGGAGAAGGGAGCAGTTCTTGGAAGAAGAATCTAACTGCTGTTCAGAAAGACAGCAGAAGAAGCCATCAACAGTGTCAAGAAGTTCAAGAGGAGGAGATAAAGATGCCAGTGCCCTGGAGACGTCTGGTTCAGGGCGAAGAGGGGCCCAGAGGAGGTCAGTGTCTCTTTTAAGCACAATTTCTGGTCATCACCATGTTGTCACCAGGTTTAGTCTGCTGGGAGCTGGAGAGGGCGCCCCATGCTTTCTACTTGGCAGGCTGAGTTTGAGTGAAATGTGGAAAACATGTTTATTGTGCCTTTCTTCTTACAACATTCCCACCCTGAGGCCAGAGAGTCTGTGCTTCTTCAATCTTGGAGCTTCTGAGACGTCCCCAGTGACCTGTCAGGACGGACTGTCTCAGGAACTTGGAATATTCTCAGCCTATTGTTGCACACGAGGCGTCCAGAGGCTCCCAGATGTGTATCTGGCCCTACAATCCTATTTGCATCTTCCTTTGTGGGTGAACCATGAGACGTGTACTTCCTCTGCCCTCAGCCTGTGCTGACAGGAAGTGAATGCTGGCTGGGGCCAGATGAATGAATGAAGAGCTGTAGCATATCCCACTGGAGATCCGGATCCTCTCAGCCCCTCTTTGCTGAAAACCAACTGTGTGCCAGGCACTTCACTAGGTGCTCTGCATGTCGTCATCCTCAGTCTTCCCGCGAGCACTGAGCACTGCTCTTAAGGTCTCATCTTGAAGAGCAGCCCAGAGGAGCAGAGTGCTGCCTGTGTCCCCAGGAGGAATGGGACCAGCCAGCCCATCTTGTCACCATGCAGCCCCTGCCAGAGTCCTATCATCATCACTCTGTGTAAATCCCCGTGCCCTTCTCTGAAATGACTTAAACAAATGAAAGTCTGAACAGTGTGTATGGGGCGTCTACAGTTACCGGATGCCATGCTGGATTGTGTGCCTTGTCTCAGTTCTCAGGACAAAGCAGCAGAGTTGCAGTTAAAATTTGAAATTGAGTTCTGGGTTCAAATCCAGATTGTGCAGCTTCCTAACTAATCACCCTATCTCTACTTTAAGAACCTAATGAGCTACTGTATGTACAAGACTTAGAAGAGTGCCTGGCTCTGTTCTCAAGAAACAGTCTCCAGGGTACTTTGTCAGTGTGTGAGTGAGTGTGTGGGTGTATTCCATTTTATACATGAGGAAGCTGATTCTAAAAGCAGTTAAATAACTTGTTCAAGTTCAGTCAACTAATAAATGACACTCGTAGATATGCCATCTGTCTCCAAGGCAGCCATGATGTGGCTGAACATCCTAAAGGTCCGCAGGATGACAGTATCTTTTACTTGGAGAGCTCTTTTCCTAAGCAGGTGCTCACTAACCTTGTTTCCTGCGTTTATTACCGTCCCTGGAAGCTGGTCCATTCTCTGTGTTTTGACATCACTGTCTGCAGTCCTCTACAATCAGGCACCAGGCTGCACAGACGACCTTTGGCTTCTCCTGATCACCTGCTGGGTTCGCAATCAGAGTGACTTTTTTTGTTCCTGTTTCAGACCTGCTGAATCAGAATCTTGGCGGTGGGGCCCCAGCGTTACATTTTATCTAACTCCCTGGTTAGTTATTTGTTCACCAAGTGGGAGAGCCTGCATTGCCCCATGTGCTTTCCCAAGACAAAATAAGGGTTAACGGAGAGACACCGAGTGGTGGAGATAAAATCCATTTTATTTATTTAACAAAAATGTATTGGGAGCTAACTAGGTCCTAGGTATCCTGCAGAAACTTAAAAATATCCAAACACATCATAAAAACAGCAATATAATCAGTATTTGTGAGATGCATTCATAATGGTTTAAAAGTGCTCATATCTCTCATTTCAACAACTCTGTGAGGCAGTGTCTGTGGAGCTGGAACTTGGAGCTGGGCCTCATACTCCTGGCCCCTCGGCCCCTCTGGTGTGAACTACCACAGGAAAGGAGGGCAGGGATCATGGGTGCATAACTGCACGGGGAGCTGGGGAGGGCTTCCCAGAGGGGGGCTTGTCCCCACTGGGTGGCAGCATTCCATCGCTCATTTGGGGGCAGAGAGCGGCTGAAACTCTGCAGATGTGTCTGCCTTCCATGGCAGGACTGTGGGGGGCATTTTGTTCCCACCGTGCAGACTGTTTGGAGTCCCCACCAAGGCTGAAAAGTGGTTCACCCTGGAGGGGAACTAGAGCCACAGCTGGGGACAGCAGAATGCTAATAAGGTTGCGTAGGAAAGCAATGACCCTCAAAACCGAACAGAAACATCATTCTCTGCAACTCACTGGGCCCATAAAAATCCCTAATTTAGTCCTGGTCCTGGGAGAAACCCCAGCAAAGCTATCTTTCTTTAACATAACTTTCAGCCCAGAGCGATCCTAAATTGCATCCACTAAAGCCTCATTCTCCCCATGGTGTTGCCAGTAAAGTTGACCAGTGAGTCTCTTCCCAGCGCCCTCGAAGTGCTCGTTAGCTGATCCTAACCTGCATCACAGAGAACAGAGACCCCAGGGAGGGCCTGGAGCGGTCTGCAAACTCCGTGCTCAGTGACTGCCAGGACACCGATGCCACAGCAGTTTGTAATGACCAGATGCTTAAGGAAGGCATTACCAGAGTTCTGTGTGGACAGTTCTCCAGCCATGATATCAGTGTTTGCCATAATCAAATTAAGAAAATGATCAGTCCTATTTATTCATGGAGAACTAGGACAGGAAAATGATCCATTGCAATTACCCAGCCCTTTCCAAACACACAGCTGAGGCTGGACTTCACTGCAGACATGCTAAGTGTCCCAGTGGCTCTGTCTTCTCTCAGCTCCGTACACATCCCACTGAGGCGTGGCTGTGCTGCCAGGGCTTCTGTCCCACCGCAGTGCCTTGCAAGCAAGCATTTTATTCATGAAGCAGAATAAAAGAGGAGCTGGAAAAGGCTAAGTGGGGGAAGCATGCTAGCAGGAAACCAAGGCCAGGGACTTGAGGTTTGGGGGCTCTGACAGCTGAGCCCAGAGGGCCATGGACCATCAGATACTACCCCTCACGTTCATGCTGTGTCCTCTCAGCTCCAATGTCCTCCCCTAAGTGGCCTCAGGTCATGCAGAGCCAGACACTCACTGCTAGCTGCCAGCACCTTTCAGTAGTGTTGGCCTCAGAAGCCCCAGCTAAATGGGGGACCAGAATGTCTTTAAGGCAACCTCTGAGCCAGATGCATGATGCCCCCCAGTGGCTGGATTACTGAAATTCTCTTAAGTATGCCCAAGCATGTCTTTGTCAAAGATGCTGAAACAGGACTGAACTGGGCAAAGTCGCCCTCACCAGCTGCCTTGTGCCATGTCACCCTGTACCCACCTGCTTGCCCATGCCAGCCTTTTATCATCGTGGACAGTATTTAGGACATCTGCTTCCATCCTTTCTTTCAATATTAGTGCTAGGAGTAGAGAAAAACGTGTGACTGTTCATACTACAGTGTTAATGACTTAGCTTAAGGATATGCATGTTACTACATATGTGTGTTTTAAGGAAGTTTCAGCACACTGACTCCCCCAGTAGCTTCTAACCATGCTGACGAGGAAGGCAGAAATAGGAAATCTTGCATCTGTCCACCTCAGAGTCCAGTGAGCTGGGACTAAAGCAGACTTTCGGTAGCCATCACCAATCCAGTGGTCTAGGTTTAGACTCGTGTGCACTGCCACCCTTTTACACCATATTCCTAGATCTTCTTGCCACCTAACTTCCATTGGACATTAGAAAACTAAATTCCAATAAAGCCATGCCAATGTCTAAATTCCAAGGCATGCACATTGTTCTAAAAGCACCACTCTGTGTCCACACTTTCTTTCCCTCACATGCACACAGTCATGCACACCCACACACGTGGCACAGCCTCAGGTGAACATGATTCTTCTCTCCCACAGTGTCAATGGCAGCATTTTCCACACTCCATGTACTCTGCACCTGCACTGCTGGGGAGGCCAAGGTGAGATGCCTCTCATGCCCAGTGCTACACAGAGTTCGAGGAAATAGAAATGCAGACATGATACCTGGGCTGGGCCACCCAAGGACACCGTCTGGGTCGTAGTCTGGGCTACTGTCACCACAGCGGCCTGGCTCTCGGGACTCTGTGGAGAGTGTCTTGGAGCCACACAGCCCAAGAGGAAGGGCAGATGCTCCTGCAGAGCCAAGAGTCCCAACACGTGGCATGTGGCCTTCAGAGTGGTGCCAGGGGTCATCTATCGGAACTTGGAGTGGGTTCTAGGCCCAGAGAGGGGTCTGTGTGTCCCTAATGAGATGATGCTGAGATAAGCTTCATTTTTGTAAGGGCAGATCCTTGTGATTATGTCATTAGTTTTGTACGTGCAGAACCATGTCCTGAATATTGTCACATCCCTAAAGGTAGGAGAGCCGCCAGCCAGGTGACAAGGTTTCACAGTTTATTCACCAGTGAGGGAATCCAGGGCATGGGGGGATTCGCCCTCACCAGCTGCCATCCTTAGCTCTGGGACAGCAAGTGACTGTCTGGGGATGTATGAGGTGCACATGGGTACACATGTGCACAAGTTCTGCAGGTGTCCCGTGTGGCCCAAATTGTGTGCAGAGGAAGGTTTGCAGAGAAGACTGTGTCCAGGGTCTCCCCCACTCACCACTACCCCCTCACAACTCCCTACCTCCCCCAACCCCCCCTCCCCGCCCCCATAGCTCATCTCAGGAAGCCCGAGGCAGAATGATTAACCCCCAGCTGTGAGGGTTAGAAAAACCAGGTGAGATGACTGCTGGTGACCCTGACCACAGATGAAGTTGCCAGGTTAGAATAGGTCCTGGGTGGCCAGTGGGTGTGCTGTCAGGAACAGCCCCTGCGTAGCCTCTCCTGGGCAGGGCACCTTCCGGCCTACCCAGGGGCTGCTGGTTCTGTGTGGGCCCTTATGCCGTGTTTGGGGAAAGGAAGGGAAACAAGAGTTGGGAAAGCTTTCCATATTAGCTTTGTTTTCTTCTAACCAGCTTTCCCAGATTCTGTTTAAAGTTTCCAAAAGGATTACATTCCCTCCCCCTCTCCGCCCCCCGCCCCCCCCACTAACAACAAGGGCACTTAGAAGCATTCGCCCAATGGGTTTCAATATTGTGTGTCTTTCCAGAAAGAGAAGAAGAGTGGGCTGCTGAAACTTCTAGCCGGGGCATCCACCAAGAAGAAGAATCGCTCCCCACCGTCCATCTCTCCCACCCATGACCCCCATGTGGCAGTGGACGCCTCGCTCCAGGGTGCAGTGGGGCTCGAAGTGTCCTCATTGTCCCTCCATGGCCGGGCAGGGTCCTGCCCCATAGAGAGCAAGATTCAGGGGGCGATGGGAATGGAGCCACTGCACAGAAAGACGGGCTCCTTGGACCTGAACTTCTCCTCATCCCCTTCCAGGAAAGCCCCTTTCTCCATGGCTGCCGCCCGCCCTGAGCCCAAGCCATTTCCCAGAGAGAGGTAAGACTGAGGGTCAGCTTGCATTCTCTAAAACCTTGCTGTGGGTTGATCTGTGAAGTCTGGAGCCACTTTTGGGGAGCAGGGACAGCGGGGATTCCTGAGGATTAAATTGACTAGACACCCCTCACTAGCCAGGACTACTTGGGTCCTGACCGTGGAGGTGAGCATCGGATAAAACCAGTTTGGGAATAAATGGGAGCATATTTCATGTTCTGAATCCATCTGGGTCCTGAGTTTGGGATTTACAAGTGATTCATCAGGAAATTGTTCAGAACTAATGAGATACTGAGCCAAAGGGTGTAGAGAGGAGACTGTGTCCATCAATCCTGAGGAACCCCTAGAGTGGGCCGCTGGGCTAAGTCCCCACAGGCCTGTGCACCCCACACAGGAAGCAGTTTTTTGAAGTTTAGCCTACTCTAACATCTTAGAATTAAACATTACCCCAAATTGGCTTCAAGGACACACACAGACACACACACACACTGTTGGGTTGAGCCACATGAAATTGCTAACATTCTTTTTTTTTTTTTTACAAAACCAGCAATTTCATAGGGTTCAGCCTAGAGTCTGAGGAAACTGAGTCTAACTGAGGTGACTTGGTCCACGAGGCCATGTTTGTAGGGTGCCGGTGCTTGAATTTTACAAGAGGTCAGAGGATCAGATTCAAATAAGGGTTGGGCTGTGGTGCGGAGAGAAGGGATGGCATGTGCTCAGGGTGATGGGGCTGTGGAGAGAGGGGATGGCATGTGCTCAGGGTGATGGGGCTGTGGAGAGAGGGGATGGCATGTGCTCAGGGTGATGGGGCTGTGGAGAGAGGTTTCACATGGGTCCGCTCAGCACACCTTTTCTAACAAGGTCCAGATAATAAGTGTTGCAGATGTTGCAGCTCACAGTCTCTGTTGCAATGCTCACCTCACCACGAGGGCAAAAAGGCACCATATACATATGGAAACAATGGGGTGGGTGTTCCAGTAGACCCTACTATGGACACTGAAATTTAAAGTTCATGCGATTTTCTTGCGTCATGAAATATAATTCTTCTTTTGATTTTTTTCAACTATTTCAAAATGTAACATTCTTAGCTGGCAGACCACACAAGTTAGGTGCAGGCCACAATTTGTCAACCCATGGTCTTGATGAAGGGATTTAGAGCCGAGCCATTGGGGTGGCATTGAGATCCTGAGCCACTAAGAACAAATCTCTCTCCAAGGTGGTGGAGGGACAACATGGGCCAGCAACTGCTGACTTCTGCTAAACAGCGAAAGTGTAAGTCTGGCTTTACACCTGCTTTTAGAATAACTAGGATTTGCAGAATGCTCTGTGCAGGGGTGATATTCAGAACCTTTACCAATTGATATGGATCCCAGCCATACACATCCAGGGCAGCCATGTGTACATGCAGCTTAACATCTGCCAGCACCTCAGTTCATCCCCTCAGTAACCCCATTTTATAGATGAGAAAACTGAGGTTTAGTAAAAGGCTGAGTAACTTGCTCACGATCACACATATGGTTCCATAACTAATGCCCTATCTCCCTGTGGGCAGCCACCCCAGCACCCTTCCCCTCCGCATGCTTGCCTCTGGCTCTCCTTGGCAATATTGCAGAGTGGCTCTGAGCAATAGGCACACTCACCATTTCACTCCAAATAAGGGTTTCTGGGGTTTTTTTGAGTTGCAGTTCCCCCATATATAAAATGGGGATAATAATACCTATCTGGTAGTTATAATATTTGTGAAAGCCTAGATTAATACCTGGAAAATTACGAATGCATAAACAATAGCAACAATAATAATATATGACATGATATATAATACTATTTATCATATAACATATATGTTAATCCATTTTTTATTGCCACCATCTCTTTTTCCATATGTTCACACACGTAGTCTGTCCATCCTCACTCTTGCTGGCCTGTACGTTGTTTGGCTTCGTTAGGATGTAAAAGGTTTTGGCTTTGATGTATTGTGTGGCATGGTAGGTAGGATAATGACTCCCAAAGATGTCCGTGCCCTAATTACCCAAGTTGTGACTATATAACCCCCACATGGCAAAGAAGACTTCAATGTTGCAGAGGGAATAAAGATAGCTAACTCTGGAGATTATTCCGTGTTATCCGAGTGAGCCTAGTGTGACCACCGGAGTCCTTATTAGTGGAAGAGGGAGGCAAAGGACAAGGTCAAAGGGATCTGACGGGAGAAAGACTCCCTCGCCCTTGCTGTCCTTGAAGATGGAGGAAGGGGCTTCCGGCCCAGGAATGCGGGCAGCTCGGAGGAGCTGGAAAAGGCTGGGGCACAGTCTCTCCTGGAGCCTCCAGAGGAGCCGGCCCTGCTGAGACCCTGACTCTATCCCTGTGAGACTGTGAGATGACTTAACGAATCATGAGATAAGGAATTCGTGTTTTATTATGCCACTAAGTTTGAGGAAATGTGATATAGCAGCAATCCGCAACTGAAACACATGTTGATATTAGAGTGTGGTGTCCAGGGTATAGATGTGTCCTTAACATTTCCAAGTTCCTAGCAGGACACTGCTCTGTGATGACCACTCTCCAGTAACTCGGGGACCATGTGTCCCCCACAGTGCTGAAGCCAGTGCTGCGGAAAGCCTGCCAGGCAAGGCCCCTTGTGGCCCCTGCTGTTGGGGGGGAGCAGATGACACAGGAAGAGGACACTCCAAACCTCACACACAAGGCTAACTGCAACATGCAGTGGTAAGAATTCATTCTGATTTTGAGCTTTTTTATTCCCTGAGTCTTATGTCTGAAAACTAACTGTGGGCGACATAACCTCATCTCAGCAGAGTTCTCACTGATGTAAGACGCGTGACCGGGAGGAGCTGCCGTCCTCCAGTGTGCCCGGGCGTTAGGTGCCTGTAACAGGAAGTGCCAGTTACATCTGTGCAGCAGGAAGAATAGCTCAGAGTCTTGGAATGATCTGGACAGAAATGTTAAATGCCTGTCTCGGATATATTCCTCCCACATCACCCATCTAGGCTCATTAAACTATTTTATTGCTCAGAAGCACAAAAGTACTTTTTCCCCCTAACAAATAACATTTTAAAATTTGCTTGTTTGTTTCACATCTGGCAAAAAAACAAAACTTTTGTTCAGAGTTTGAGAAATAACTCACTCTTGCCTTTCTTTTCCTTGAGGAATTGAGAGGAGGCAGGTGTTTGGAAAGGAGGTGAGGGTGGCAGAAAGCCACAGGGAGGACCCAGGCTGGTCTTGGTGTTCGCACACACAGCCTGAGTGCTGGGGCCTGGGGACAGTGTGGTGTGTGCAGTACTGCCTGACCTCACGGGTCATCTGTCCTCCTCAGGGCGTGGCCTGCAGGCAGCTGTTTGCATCACTGGGCTGGGAGGAGGGTGGAACTTATATGCTCCTTTCTCTCCTCCTCCATATCCCCAAAGCCAGCTTTTGGCTCCCAGGGATGGCAGTGGAAGCTCGCCCAGCCGCCTGTACCTGCAGCCACTCTGAGGCACTCAGCCTAGCTGGCCCGCCCCTGGGCCACAGGAGCATGCATGCCTGTCACATAAACCGCGGGAGCCTCCTTCCTCTCCGCCCCAGCTTGCCTGCCTGGAACAGACGGTCTGTGTGTCCAGGGGCTGTGGGCACCGAGGCTGAGCCTGGGTCGTCATCCCAAGCCCAGCCACTGCCCTGGACAAGGCTTGTCTGCTCCGCCCAGATGGGCCAGTACCCAGGCCTGTGAGCCAGTGGGGCTGAGTGAAGATGAAGTCTCCTCAATGTTTTCTTACTCAGCACCTTGATCCTCAGACATCAGTATGTAAAATTTATTTAAAATCTACATTCCCTGCCCCATCCCCGGCATCTCAGCAGGCAGGGACAGGATGGACACAGAAATCTGGGCCCAGGTCCTGAAGTCTGTGAGCCACTCTGAGAAATGCAGACTTGGGATCTTTTGTTTTATAATGAATGTCCTGGTTTCATAAAGACCAGAATATACCAGGGAAAGGCTCCATATAGAACTATGAGCCCTCAGGACAGCCTGCTGCCATTTGTGTGGCTGTGGCTGAAGGGAGAAGGCAGGGTCGGGGGCAGAGGGCAGGCCTTTACTGCTGGCTGATGGCCCAAGGAAGACAAGGGTAAAAAAGTCTCCCACCTTCCCCCACCCAGCCAGTGGGCCTAGACCAGCCGTGGGCAAACTACGGCCCGCGGGCCGGATCCGGCCCGTTTGAAATGAATAAAACTTAAAAAAAAAAAGACCGTACCCTTTTATGTAATGATGTTTACTTTGAATTTATATTAGTTCACACAAACACTCCATCCATGCTTTTGTTCCGGCCCTCCGGTCCAGTTTAAGAACCCATTGTGGCCCTCGAGTCAAAAAGTTTGCCCACCCCTGGCCTAGACTGTGGCCCGGACACTGCAGGGAGAAGAGGACACAGGATAGTGTCTCCTCAGAGGCCCCTCTCTCCAGGTCAGGCCCTGGGCCTCTAGGCCACCACCACCATGCAGATCGCCAGGATTCTTCACTGCGTCCATCAATCCTGGGCTAAGTCCCCACAGGCCTGTGCACCCCATACAGGAAGCAATTTCTTACTCAGAATCGAGGGGTCTCTGCAGCCTTCGGCTGGAGAAGGGAAGACAGGAGGCCCAGAAACAGTTTGGTGGGGAGGGGGGAGGGAGGATAGCAGTGGGGTGCATGTCATCATGTCACTCAGGGAGTGCAGGGTGCAGGGAGAGGGCCCAGGGCCCCCTGCACAGGAGCCACAGCACAGACCTGCTCTCCCCACCCAGCCCTGCACACACTTCCACTCCTGTCATCTTTTATGCCCACAGCAGAGGCATCATCGGGGCCTGGTCAGCTGCGACTATGAGCTGAACGGGGTAGCAGCTGTTTGCTGAGAGGCTGATGTGGATGGAGCTGCAGGTCCCACTGACCCACTGCCCACTGCCCAGCCTCTCCCTCGCCAGCAGCAGCGGGGACTCCTGGCCCCCAGCTGGCCCTCCTCCACTTCTGCCCTCCCACTCCCCCCAGCAGCCGCACCCTTCAACTGCCAGTCCCATTGTGGGCCTGCAACTCTCTCCGAGTCTCTTAGCAGAGGGACCCATGGCGAGGTCACGGGGAGAATGTGGCCGAGGGTGACTGGATGCGTGCCCTTCCAGGTAGCCCAGGCTCAGCCCTCCTGGTCAGTGGAGGAACGATTACTGAGCATCTTGGCCTGGCCAGGCCGAGCACTCCCCAGCGCCTCAGCCTACCCAAGTCTGTCGCAACCTTCAGCTAGGGGCATTAAGGGAGTGAGAGTGGCTACACCCTGCCTGCACCAAACCCGTGCGCAGTTAGTACTTGGATTCTGTCCTGGAGCCCTGCTCCGGGTCCAGCTGGACAGACAGAGGGTGAAGGTCCAGTCGGATGTCAGCACACATGCCTCTGTGAGTTCCCTGAGGGGCGGGGAAGGTATAGGTGGCTGGAGTGGTGGGGGCAGGGCAATTCCTGTCAGGCTGGGACAGTGAGGGGTACGGGCACAAGGGCACCTGCTAGCTTGTCCTTGATGGTGTTTTAGAAGAAGGCTGGTCCTCAGATCGAGCACAGCTTCTTTTCAGCCTTCCTCCTCCTCCTCTGAGGCCTTGGGGACAGGTGTGAGTGTGGGATGTATGCCAGACCCGCCCTGTGCTGACACTAGGGCTCTTGGCAAGATGCCGGGGAGGGGCAGACCACTGTCTCAGATCCGGGAGCTGTCAGGGCAGCTCTTAGGTTTAGCACCTGGTGTGCACCCGACTGGGCACCTGCTGAGCCTCTCGGGCCCTCAGAGGTCTGTGCTTGGTCTGGTTGGAGCTCAGGCCACAGCACCCCTCCAGGTGCCCTGCCCGCAGGTCGTGTCACCACTGGGATCATGTCACGTTGGTCTGAAAATGAAGGGTGAAGAGTTCAAAGGCCACAGGGAGGGCCAGGTTTGCAGGAATGAGGTGTGAAACATGGGGCCTTGTTTATGAAGGGATCTCAGAGGCGCTGAGGGCACAGGGTCAGGGTCCTGTGCCACGATGGGGACACGGCCACCAGTCTTGCCCCTGTCACCGGGAGGCCGAGGTTTGAGGAGGCCTGAGGGAGGACGGCTCGGAGAGGCCGCATGTGGGTGGAAACATCCCAGCTGCCTGGATCAGGGACTAAAAGGCATCACAGGGAAAGGCTACTATCAAATTTTTAATAAAAATGTAAAAAAAATTTAAGTGGGAAAAGTAGCCCCAAATTACAACGATGTTCCAGAGGGGAAAAGGAAAAGAAAAGAGCAATCTTGCCAGCAGACAGCGGGCCACCCTGGGTCATTCTCAGCCTTCTGGGTCAGGCTCACCCACTGTGGTGTCTGTCCCCCCTTCAGGTACCGTGTCGTGGTCTCGTACCCGCCCCAGAGCGAGGCAGAGATAGAGCTGAAGGAGGGAGACATTGTCTTTGTGCACAAGAAGCGTGAGGACGGCTGGTACAAGGGGACCCTGCAGAGGAACGGCCGCACGGGCCTCTTCCCGGGCAGCTTCGTCGAGAGCTTCTGAGGACAAACTCTCCACACGCCACTCACCGGGGAGAAGGCCTTCCGGGAAGCCCAAGGCGCCAGAAGAGGGCCACCACTCCCCAGGCCTCAGGTCCCTTCCAAGGCCCCTGCAGGGTGTGGGGGCCGTGCCTTCACCCACAACCCCCAACCGAGAGCACATCTTGGGGTTGTTCTTGGATGAGATGCCTGCCACCCCGTGTGAACCGTAGAGAAGTGAGTTGGGAGGAGGAAGATGCTGCCTGGGTGGCTCCTCGAGGTGGCTCCCCGAGGTGGCTCCCCCAGGTGGCTCACTGTGCAGGGCTGCGTGGCGCAGAATGTCTTCATGGGCTGTCTGGGCTGCAGGTGGGGTCCAAATTGCTTCATTGCCTCTCTTTATACCTCAGTCGCCTGCCACCTGCCCAGCCCCTGGGAAAGCCTGGCTGTGCAGCCTGTGGGACTCCCACAGCTCCCATGGCTGGTCCCCATCAGCATTGGGAACAACACTTCTGTTGGCCACTGTCCCTTTGCATTGCTTCTTTCTCACATCTTTTTAATGTAAAGCTATTAGACTTTATATATTTCTAATCGGTCATACATTGCCTATTTTTCATACATCTGGTGCTGCCTTTTTGTAATGACTTGGTTGAGTTTGAAAGAAAAAAATGTCCGAGGAAACATCAAATGGGCAGAATTTTTATATTTACTATATGAACTTTGGAGAAATCCAGAAATCCCACATCTCAACACCACAATGCCCTGCACCATGGGATAAGAGGGAATCCATTTAGGGGATTCAAGGTAGTTTGGAAAAAGCCAATTTCTTTCAACCTTTACCAAAGCCCCATGCTCTGTCTAGACAGTATAATTGTTACTCAAGAACATGCAACTTCAGGGAAAGTGGCTATAATCGCCTTTTGTGTGGCAGTGAAAGGGGCATGAAGGTGGACCCACCCTGAAAAAGCGGAATTTCCCTCTTACTGCTTTAGCAAGAGTGACAACAATTCGCTTATCAAAATATGATTTATCACTATTGAAATGGGCAGTTTTTACCCCAGTTCAGATGTAAACCTCTACAATTTACAAGACCTGGTGAAGGTCTTGCCTTTTTACAGTATATAATTGCTCCCTTGTCGGGCAGTGTGAACCTGGGTGTAAAGACTGGAGGTCCATGGGATAGCAGGAGTGAGTCCTCTGCAGATGGGGGGCTGGGAGCTGGGAGGGGCGGGGGGAGAGGTGGAAGGGCAGCTCCGACCCTGGGCCCCCACAGGTGGGGTCCAGGACACAGCTCATCTCCACAGATGCTGCCTCCCGGAGCCCTGTCACAAGGCGATCTTGTTTTCAAGAGACTCACACCTTAGGAATATACTCTTATCTGTCCAGAGTCACAACTTGTAAACTCTCTCTATACATTTTTACAGATCACTCAGGTTTAAATTAGGCTGAATAATGAGCCTTTGGTAACACTCGCCCTGATTTTTAGGGATGCAACGAAATCCAGAAACCCATTCCCTCGCCTGGGGTGATACCTCTGAAATACAAACACTTATTTTCAGAGTTCCTATTTGGGGATGTGACTGGGATATTTGTTACTGCCAGGTGGCTACCAGGCTGGTGGCATTGTTCCTATAGCAAGGCTCATTTCCTTGCTGGTAATATATTTAATAGGCTTGAGAAAGTTCTTCTAAATCAAGAAAATAAAAGCAGTTTAAATACAGGGAGCCCTGTGCTCAAGTTAATGGCGACCATCAGTTGCCAACTTAGCTGCCTACCTTGCACATCAATCGTGTGCATGCTTCAAATCATGTCATTGCCAAAAACATGCTGGCTGAGACAGCTATTCTCCACTGAGACCAGAACTAACTCCAATTCCCACAGAATAAGAAGAGCAAAAAAAACCGACAGCAGTTATCATGCAACAGAATAGACTAACTTGGACCTTCTTTCCTTTCCTGCCACCACCCACGTGGTGCTCTGGTTGACAGAAGTGCTGAGCAGCTCAGTGACTGTGGGGGAAGCAGCAGCCATGGGGCAAGCACCCCTCACAGCAGTGTGTTTGCAAGGCATCAGCTGGCCCAGCTCGAGGCAGACTCAGGGGTGGCCATTGGGACTGACTTGAGAAGTGATGCCCCCCAGCCAGGCACCCTCTCAGGAGGGGCTCTCAGGGCAAATGCCGGGCACTCAGAGGGCAGGCAGGTGCACAACAGGCCCCATGCTTTAGGCTGAGTGTTTCCAAACATGTTCAGTCAGACCCATCAGCCTTCATGACCATTTAATCCGCAGACAAGAGCGGGAGCAGGCTTAGATGCTTCCTTCAGGCCATCTTGCCTCAAAGGACACGCTCCTTTTGTTTTCTAAGGTGAAACAATACCTTGTCTGAAACCCTCACATTCCCTCCTGGCCCAGGGACTTACTCAACTTGGGTGCACAGTGGCATTTGGCAGGCAAGGTGACTTGCTTTGAGGAGCACAGTGAAGTCCATGGCCACCACTGAGGGAGGTCACCGAGGTGTTGGGGACATGGGGCCACCAGAGGACCACGGGAGGGATGTGGTGAGACAGAGCTGGACAAGAGCCCCCTGATTCTAGTGCCCCAAATAAGCTCAGTGGCCCAGCTGGGGATTATTTGTACTTTGCACAATTCTCACACACACACCCTAATGTTTTTGTTAAACACAAATGTCAGTGTGTGACTTCGGAAGAACTTACAGTGATGACAAACTATAATGCTGTGTTTCTGAGTCTTTAAATAAAAAATGAACATGGAGAGGTCTTGTGTCTGGTGGTAGGAACAGTGAGGGTGGGGCAGGGGCTGAGAGGCCCTGAGCAGAAACACCAGCTGGGTAGGGGAACTGAGCAGGCACCACCCGTGTCCCCACTGGTGCACACTCCTGTCACCTCAGAGTGCTCCCTGGTGGGAGACATGGGGTCTGTGTCAGGGTGAGGGGCCACTGAGGAGACGGAGGAGATCAGACAGCCGACCTAGCACACATGCCAGAGAACCACTGGCTGGGCGGCGAGAACCGAGCCACAGGCTGGCTGGGCATAAAAGACCCCAGCTCCTCCAAGGCTCGTGTGCCCGACAGCTCTGCTCCTGTGACTTCCTGCAGGTGACTCACATTCCTTTCTTGTGGGAAAGCTTTTCATGTCAGTAGTTATTCAGGTTCCTAGCAACCAGGAGTGGCTGGTATTGACCTCCCAGACTAGGAGTGGCTAGTGCTGACCTCCCAGACCAACACTCTCACCACCCTGCTCTTGGCTGTCTGGCCCTTGGGGTGCCCGGGCTTTCTGCATCACAGGGTAGAGGGTGCCTCAAAGTCACCAACAGGAGGGACTTGAATGACTGCCAACCTCCAGAAAGGTGGGCCTGACCCAAATCGCCCAGACAGACTATTGCTGGGCTGAGAGCTGACACGTCAGGTTTTTCTGAAATAAGCTTTCTCTGCCTGCTCAGGCACAGGAGTGCCTACATTCTTTGACTATCGTATATATGTTTGAGCTGGAAAGAAGCTTAGCAAAGAACCATTTCACTCTTCTGTAAACATTCAGTGAATGTGTATAAGACCAGATACCATATCATGAGTTATGGGTGAGGAGAATGGTGAGGAATGAAGCATATCTCAGGCTCACCTCCTCTCCCAATAAGACTGGCTGAAAGATGCTCTTACCCTCACTTGCTACATGAACGATCAAGGTTAGAAGAGGTTGAATTAATTGGTCCAGATCACATAGTTCATGGGACTCAAGTTCAAGTCTACTTTTATGTTATTTTATTTTGTTTTTAGCATAGGTCACTTTTAGAGAGGGAACAGTCTATGCAAATTCCCAGAGGGGCCAGAGAGAGCTTGGTTATAACTGGGAGACCAGGAAGGGAAGGGGAGGGGAAGGAGAATGGGCAGGGAAGCAGAGTCATCCTTCTAGGTCAAAGGCAAAAGGAAACCTTTACAGAGTCCTAAGATGGAGGCTGATGCAACCCTGTCTGTATTTTAAAGCTTTCTGTGGAGGGGAGTGGCTATGGGGAGCCAGTGAGGTAGCTGCTGCAGGGGCCCAGGGCAGTGCCAAGGCCTGGAGAGACTGGGCAGACCTGAAGGGCCTCCGGGATAAGCCAGTGTGGAGGCCAAGGCGAAAGGGCATCTGTGTGAGATGTGGAGGGAGGGAGGGAGGGGCAGAAGGCCCAGGAAGGCTCCAAGCTATGGGCCTATAAATTAATCAGTGCTCTCCAGAGAAACAGAACCAACAGTAGATCTTATCTAATAAAAGAGAAACATGCAAATTGACTGTACCTCCTCTACACTCACAAGCCACACCCACAAGCCAATCAGAGTGACTATATGCAAATTAACCCAACCAAGATGGTGGCTGGCAGCCAGGGAGCTGGAGCAAGCAGGAGGCTTGGTTGCCCTGGCGATGGAGGAAGCCAAGCTTCCTGCCTGCCCTGGCCGGCTGTAGCCTCCGCTCAAGGCAACAAAGTTTCAATTATAGAAGATAAATAAATCCCAAATAACTGCTTCCAGCCAGCCTCCACTGGGACCTTGAGTTCGCTGGGGGCTGTGGCCCAGCCTGCAAACAGCCATCAGCCCTCACCCAGGATGGCCACACCTTCATGGGGGTGAGGGTCCCCACTGAGGGGCTTGGCCAGCCTGCAAACAGCCATCAGCCACTCACCCAGACTGGCCAGGCACCCAGCAAGACCCCCCACCCTAAAGGGGCTGTGGCCAGCCTGCAAACAGCCATCAGCCCCTCACCCAGGCTGGCCAGGCACCCCAGCAGGGACCCCCACCCTGAAGGGGGTGTGGCCAGTCTGAAAATGGCCCTCAGCCCCTCACCCAGGCTGGCCAGGCACCCCAGCGGGACCCCCACCCTGATCCGGGACACCCTTCAGGGCAAACCAGCCGGCCCCCACCCATGCACCAGGCCTCTATCCTATATAATAAAAGGGTAATATGCAAATTGACCCTAACAGCAGAACGACTGGGAATAACTAGTCACTATGACACACACTGACCACCAGGGGGCAGACGCTCAATGCAGGAGCTGCCCCCCCTGGTGGTCAGTGTGCTCCCACAGGGGGAGCTCTGCTCAGCCACAAGCCAGGCTGATGGCTGCCAGTACAGCAGTGGTGGTGGGAGCCTTTCTCGCCTCCTCAGCAGTGCTAAGGATGTCTGACTGCAGCTTAGGCCTTCTCCCCACTGGCAAGTGGACATCCCCCGAGGGCTCCCGGGCTGCCAGAGGGATGTCTGACTGCCAGCTTAGGCCCAATCCCCCAGGGAGCGGGCCTAAGCCAGCAGGTGGACATCCCCCAAGGGGTCCCAGACTGTGAGAGGGCACAGGCCGGGCTGAGGGACCCCCCCCCCCCGAGTGCACAAATTTTTGTGCACCGGGCCTCTAGTATATATGGAGGCGAGAAGTCCCCAATCTGCCATGTGCAAGCTGGAAACTCAGGAAAGCCCAGGTGTAATTCAGGCTGAGTGCAAAGGCCCAAGACTCAGGACCTCTGATGTCTGAGGAAGGACACGGACATTTCAGCGCAAGAAGAGTGAGTCACTTTCCTTTACCTTTTATTCTATCCAAGTGCATGGAATGAATAAGGCCACTGGGGAGAGCAAGTTTGCTTTACTTAGTCACTGATTCAAATGCAAAACTTTTCCAGGAACATCCTCTCAGACACACCCAGAAAATGTGTTATCAGCTCGGTGGGCATCCCTCAGCCCAGGCAAGCTGACATAAAATTTACCATCACAACTATCATAGCCCATCAGGATACCCAGCTTAGCAGGCCCCAGGGGATCACTGGGTTGCCCACTGCCAGAGATGCTCTGATGAGAGCCTTGCTCCTTTACTGAAACAAGAAGCCTTGCCCTCTGCCACTAGCAGCAGCTCATCTGGGTCACACTTTGGCCCAGATGCCAATGGTGGTCAAGGGCTTCATTCTTTTTCTGGCTAGACCAGAGTTCCTGAGCGCCCGCCAGGCTCCTCTACCAAGAGCAGTCAGGGCAGCAGTTCTCCCACAGGCAAGCCAAAGGGAGTGGAGCCTGAGGGAGGAGGAAGGGAGGAAAAGAAGCCTGTGAGTCTAGCCCTGCCATGTGCTTCCAGCAGGTTTTTCGACCCTGGGTGACACTGGGGCTAGGGCCCCTCACCTTCTGTTCAATTCTCTACCAAACTGATCAATCAAATCCTGATTGATAGCCTCCCACGCTCACCCCATCACCGGCT